CCATTGACCACACCCATTTAGGCCCCACCCCTTTTATTAATCTAACACAGTGGCCATGCTCCCTGACCACGCCCCCTTGATGCCCCGCCCCCTCTGGCCCCGCCCCCTTTACCAGGCGATGGTTCCGCCTCATCTGCCCCCGGAGCTGCGGAGAAACCGGGGGGCAAAGGGTTAAAAATCCCCAATTTTGGGGTTTTGGGGTTTTTTGGGAATTTTTTCCCCTCCCGTTTTTCGGGAATTTTTCACCTTTTTTGGGCTTTTCCACCCCAAAATCTGAGGCTCCTCCCTCCCGATTTTCGGGAATTTCTTCCCCAATTTTTGGGGGGATTTTCCCCTCCCCCAACCATCCAAAATCTTCTCTCTTTTTTTGGGGTCCCTCCCCCTCATTTTGGAGGATTTTGGGGCCGTTTCGGATCCGTTTTTGGGGATTTCCCCTCCCCGAATTTTTTTGGGGGGATTTTTCTCTCCCAATATTCCATTTTTCCCCATTTTTGGGTCCTTTTCCCCATTTTCAGGGTCCCTCTCCCCATTTTCGGGGTCCCTCCCCCCATATTTGGTCTTCTTTCCCCATTTTTGGTGTCTTTTCCCCATTTTTTGGGTCACTCTCCCTGTTTTCGGGGTCCCTCTCCCCATTTTTGGTCTCCTCTCCCCATTTTCGGGGTCCCCTCCCCGTTTTTGGGGTCCCTTTCCCCATTTTCGGGGTCCCTCCCCCCATTTTTGGTCTCCTTTCCCCATTTTTGGTGTCTTTTCCCCATTTTCGGGGTCCCTCTCCCCGTTTTCGGGGTCCCTTTCCCATTTTCAGGGTCTCTCTCCCCATTTTCGGGGTCCCCTCCCCGTTTTTGGGGGTCCCTCCCCGTTTTGGGGGTCCCCTCCCCATTTTCGGGGTCCCTCCCCCCATTTTTGGTCTCCTTTCCCCATTTTTGGGGTCCCTCCCCCCATTTTTGGTCTCCTTTCCCCATTTTTGGTGTCTTTTCCCCGTTTTCGGGGTCCCTTTCCCATTTTCGGGGTCCCTCTCCCCATTTTCGGGGTCCCTCTCCCCGTTTTGGGGGTCCCCTCCCCGTTTTGGGGGTCCCTACCGGCGTCAGGGCCCCGGTCAGCAGCTGCAGCAGGGTGCTCTTCCCCACCCCGTTGGGGCCCACGATGCAAACTGACGATTTCGGGGGGAAATCGGGGGGTCCCCAGGTCAGGGCGGGGTCCCCCCGACCCCCCCGGGGGGATTTTGGGGGGATTTTGGGGGGTTTTGGGGGTCCCACCTCGGGATTCCATGTCGATCCCAAAATCCAGGTTGCGGAACAGCAGCTCCTGGCCCTCGTAGCCAAAATCCACGCCTGGATTTGGGGGGGAATCGGGGATTTTGGGGGGTGGGAAAGAGACCAGAATTCAACCCAAGGCTTTAAAATCCCTCCTGGGACCCCAAAATTCATCCTGGGACCCCCAAAATCCCTCCTGGGAC